GGGGGTTAGGGGCAGATGGCCCATCATCGGCCCGCCTGAACAGGGATAGACCGGCTATATGGAGAGACGGTCTGCTGGGAGGACGCCGAACACACACACACACACGCTCACAAACGTCCTGATGGCGCGTCCCGATCGCGTGGCGTGGCGGAGCGTTGGGACGCGGGCGCGCTCGCGGGGCGGATCGGAGTGGATCAGGGCGACAGAAATAGTCCGCCGAAGGTCCCTTCTCTTTGCCCCGCACGCCTCCCGCACGCGCGGCGACACTCGCGCGCTTTAGGAGAGTTCACTCCGCGTCAATAAAGCAAAAGCGCGCGACAACGAGGGCTGACGGTGGACAGTAAAGGCGGGACGATTTGAATCGCAGAGCGAATCGATTTTCTAAACGATGTCGATGTTGTAGGCTACTGACATATGTCAAGTTTTGTTCCTTCCCATACCGTTATGACAGTAATTGTATTGGGCTTTGGACGTAAATTTGGGTCATACTACACCACGTGTTTTGTGTCACGTGTCCTGGTCACGTGTCCACCATGTGGTCACACTTGCACAGTGTGGGCGGCAGCAGGTGGCGGGGGCGGGGATATGTTATTGCGGGGCCCCTGTGCAAAGGCGGCGAGTCGCCCTAAGCGCTGCTCATTGTCTAGCCGCCGACCTTGAGAAGAGGGGAGGGGGCATAGCTTGCTGAATGTATCGAGAAGACGGGTGGACGAAAATAGCGGGAGACACATGTGGTGCAATGAGAAAGAGATTTTGCGAGAATCCTAAATATAGATTTGCGTGTTTTAAAATGGGGTGCGAGAAGCAAGTGAAATGTTTTATAATAAGCTTGCCATACTAACCTGATGTCGTCGGCCGCGACGCGTGTGACGCTGCACTCCGGCTGGACAACCACCGGCTCCTACACGGGCCAGGCGCGCGGGGGGCAGGAGGAGGTGCGGGGGTGCGGGGGGAGGGGGGGGTGCACCCCCACCCACAGACACCTGTCGACGCCCGGCGCAGTCCGTCAACACAACCCGGGACGAGAACTATAGGCTGTCGCAACTTGATAGCACTAAGCTGAAAGAAGGCACGGCAGGGGGGCTTCCCTGCTGCGGGGCGAACTCGCAACCCGTTCACGAGACAACTTCGCACTGAGGAGTAGCAAAACACACTGCGCCAGCGGGGCCCCGGGGGCCAGTTGGTCGGCGGGGGGCGGCGCGAGGCGGCGGGGGGCGGCGCGGG